GGGTGAGCAATACAGCAAGACTTGGTTTCCTGGGTTGGCAAGGAGACACGGCTTGCAATGAAGCTGAGCGCATCACAAACCGTGAATGTTGCACAAGTTGGCTTAGGTCTATGACAATGCAAAGGACCATTGGGAAAGGTAGAAGCTTTCAGGGTTGGTGCCAGTCTTGCGGTGCAAGAGCTCTGCTAGGCAAGCTAGCCACAACATCCAGCAATAAGTTGTAATTGGATTGTTGAGCATTGACAGCACCTGCTCCTTGCTGCACCTGATTGCTGAGGCTGTTGCCTCTTGTGGCAGAGGGCAGGACATGTAGTTGTTGATCACAGTTGGTTGTCTAGGGGCAACAATTTTATTGTCCCTGTAGTGATTTTGCACACACTGGGTGATCTTTTTCGCCAGGCCAATCATGGATCCTAGCCAAGTCTTGGGCATCTGCCGTAAGTATCCCATCAGAGAGCTGCCTGTTAGCATCCATGGCATTGAGAGCATCTACTAGAGCAGGACAAATTTTCCAGAGAGGCAGGGCAATGCTTGTGTAAAGAAGCAACTCCGTCCCTGTTCCGTTCACAATCCATGCCTTATGCTCTGAGATGCACTCTTGTATGTCTCCCAGGCATCCAATGCCTCACAGACATTCACCTCTGCGCACCACACACCATCAAGCCACTCAGACAGACACTTCTGTCTCTCCCTCATTCCTTCTCTGCGCCTCACACACACCTTATGCATAGCAATGACTCTTGCTCATTGTTCATGCAGCCACCAAAGACTCATGCACGCCAAACTCTGACTCTGACTCAGAGGCACTGTGTAAAGAAGCGACGCTGTCCTGTACCCAAATCCATGCCTTATGCTCCGCGCGCGCCCCACTCTGACTCATACACATCCACTACTGCGCGCCAAGCACCACTCTGTCTCTCAGACATTCCACTCTGCCTCTCAGACATTCTCCAATGTCTCTCACACATTCAAGAATGTCTCTCAGACATAGTTCATGCAGTCAGAATGTCTCTCAGACATTCATATGCACCTCGCGCATAAGAATGTCTCTCAGACATTCTTCTCTGTCTCAGAGACATTTCACTCTGCCTCAGAGACATTTCACTCTGCTTCTCACACTTTCTGTTACACAACACACTCTGTCTCTCAGACAGACCTGTAAGGTATATATAGAGGCCCCCCAAGGCCTCTCCCACTTTGCAATACAACCTTTCCTCACCCAATCTTCCTGCCCTCTTCCTCGACTGACCTCCTCACCTGACCGCCGCCTGACACTGGCTTGATCACCCAGCTGTCTTCCACTCACTTCCTCCTTCTCCACAGCCTGCCACCGTCAAGTTCCGCCGTCTAATAACAGCTAGCCGTCTGCTCAATTGCACAAGGACCTTACTTGTGCCGGCGTACGTCTTCACTCAGAAGACGCGTCGTTACACACTGCGCCAGTGCAGTGACTCTGCTCCACCTTGCAGCGACTCTGCTTCAGACACATTCCACCTCTGCTTCTCACTCATTCTGTTACACGACACTCTCTGTCTCTCAGACAGACATGTAAGGTATATATAGAGGCCCCCCAAGGCCTCTCCCACTTTGCAATACAACCTTTCCTCACCCAATCTTCCTGCCCTCTTCCTCGACTGACCTCCTCACCTGACTGCCGCCTGACACTGGCTTGATCACCCAGCTGTGTTCCACTCACTTCCTCCTTTCTCCACAGCCTGCCGCCGTCTAACACCAGCTAGCCCTCTGCTCAATTGCACAAGGACCTTACTTGTGCCGGCGTATGTCT